CCCCCCCCACCCCACGCCTGCTGCACCTGCAGAAAGGGGACGCGAGCCGGGCCCTTCGCCAACAGCCTCCGGGGCTCGTCCAGACGACCTCGAGGGCGCCCTCCCGACTCCACCGACTGCGCGGAGGCTTCCTTTGAGAAGCGGCCGGGAGGGTCCTTACGCGGCCGCCGTCCCTTCCGCCCGGGAAGCGCCACTGCGCAGGCGCCGGGCCGGACGAGCCCCGGAAGCAGCGGCGGCCCAATGGAGGCGGCGGGAGCGGCGGCGCTGAGGGACCCGGCGGGGCGCCTGCCCGGAGGCTTCTGGGCGGCGGCGGCCGTGTGGCTGGAGCGGCCGCAGGTGGCCAACAAGCGGCTGAGCGGCGCGTGCGCGGAGGCCCCCCTCAGCCTCCCCAGGGCGGGCGGGGGCGCGGCGGCCCCGGCGGAGGGAGCCTGGGAGGCCTTCTGCGCAGGCGCGGCGGGGGAAGCGCTGGGACTGAGGGGGCCGCTGGAGCTGCAGCTGCGACGCCTCTTCCCCCGCCGGCCGCCCGCAGGCCCCGCAGGCGCCCTCTCGGCGGAGCTGGTGGTGCGAGGTGGGCCCCTTACCTTCCCTGCCCTCGCCCGGCATGGCTGCGCTGCGGGAGGCCTCCCTCCCTCCCTCCATCCATCCGCGGGCGGAAGGGAGCGCGGGGAGCCCTTATGTCCTCGGGGGGCCAGGTAGGAGCAGGAAGGCCCGTCCCCCGGGAGCCTCCCCCGGAGGCGGCCTTCGCCCTCTGGGAGCCCCGCCAGAGGAGAGAGGAGGGGTTGGGGCGGCCCCTCCTTTCCCCCCAACGGCTCCCCTCTTCCCCCTCCTCCTCCTCCTCCTCCTCAGTGCTGGGGGGTGGGGGGGAAGGGGGGCCTGGCTGCTCCCTGAGCCCGGAGCTTCAGGGCCCAGCCTCAGGCAGCCCTCCAGTTGCAGCCCCTCATTCAGTGACCGAAATTACAGCAGCGCTGAGAAAAGGGGGCTCCTCACACTTACGACGGTCGTTGCAGCATCCCCAGGGTGATGGGGATTTGTATTCGGGTGCACTCGAAAGCTGATTCACCC